TCCGAAATCGCCCAGACCGCGAGCGCGAAGCGCGACGAACTTGGCACCTTCGTGGTAGCCCCAGGAAATCGGGGAGCCATAAAAGGGAGCGGGAGAAACGTGCACCTTTCGTGCAGCTTGTGGGCCCCATGGGGGCACTTCTAGGGCACAAGAGGTGAATATCTCGTCCCATGTATCGCACCCCCGTTGCTGGACGCCCGATCCCCTCCTCCCCCCAGACATCCAGAGTCTGGATAACATATCAAAATATCTACATCTGTATATCAAAAGATGAATCGTTTTCAGCCTCTCGGGGCCCTCACCGGGCCTCGTGATCGTCAATAAAAAAAACGACTCGAACAAAAAACAAATCCCGGGGAAGTGGTCGAGAGGCCAGGGCCCGTGTCTCGAAGATATAGATACTCCAGATGTCTGGCCTTTCTCGTCCCTGCGCATCGTGCTCCCCGTCCCCCCCCATCCATCCTCCTCCGCCTCCTCCTCCCTCCTCCTCCGCCTCCTCCCTCCTCCTCCTCCTCCTCCTCCTCCTCCTCCTCCTCCTCCTCCGCCTCATGCTCTATCCTCCGCCCTCCTCGCCCTGCGCATCGTGCTCTCCTACCTCGCGTTCCCTCGATCCTCCTCCTCCTCCTCCTCCTCCTCCTCCTCCGGTCCTCCTCCTCCTCCTCCTCCTCCTCCGGTCCTCCGGTCCTCCTCCTCCTCCTCCGTTCCTCCGTTCCTCCGTTCCTCCTCCTCCTCCTCCTCCTCCTCCGGTCCTCCTCCCCCTCCTGAGCCCGCGGCCCCAGCACCCACCTCATTTTGTGATGGGTGTCCACTGGGACCAGGCGTGTGAGGCAAGTCCACAGCACGCACTAAGGGAACCGCGTACAAGAAGTCTGTAAACAAACGAAGGGGGGCCACCACATTGTTTCGCCCCTCGGTGCGGCTTTGCATAGCCGGCGCACCGAGGGACAGGACAGGGCCCCCCTCCCCAACAAGTAGAACACTAAGCGGAAACAATTGCATCGCACGTCGGGGAAGACGATTTATTGGAGGAGGAGGGACAAGGAAGGAACAGGAAGAGGGAGGGGACGGGCGCGCGGCGGAGGGGCGCGAGACACCCGACCCCCCCTCCTTTGGCGCGCGCGCGCGCCCGCCCGGGGCAAGGAGCGGGGAGGAGGGGGAACTGAACCGCAAAACAATGCACCAGGACAGGCGCGCTCACCTTGCCTGTGTTTGTTCCTGGTGGCGGCCTGGCCCTGGCCAGGAATCAGCCCGGCGAGGCAGCCTGGGCGGGCCGCTCCCCGCGGGTTCAGGCCAGCCCGGCTGCTCGGCGGCGCTGTAGCGCCAGTTGAGTTTGCACGGCGCAGCTGATGGCCTTGCAGGCACGCGTCAGCTCGCCGAGCTGTTGGTCTGCCGGCAGCGTACGCACCTGCCGCAGGAGCCACTGCCTGGCCTCACCGCCGAAGCTCCATGGGGGTTCCACCACGAATGGCGTCAGTCTGCCCCCGGGGTACCTGGCGTGTTTCTGGCGCTCGCCTCTCCTGGCGGCCTCGCCAAGCAGCGCGCCGCCGCGTGCATCGCGTCCTCGGCTGCAGGGCTGCGGACCGAGACATCGATCCAGAGGCGGCTAGCCCCGTCGTTGTACTCGACGTCCATGACCGCGCGCTCGGGGAGGTCCGCGTCTGGCGGATTCGCTGGCCGCCGGCGGAGGGCCCGGTCCCAAGCTGGCACCCGTTGCTCCGTCAGCGGCTCTTGGTGCAGCCAGCGGCGGACCAGGCCAGCTTCCGCGTTCTCGAGGCTGCTGTGGCGGCTTTCCACGCCGCCGCCCAGGGCGCAGGTGGCCGCGTGCGTGCCTTGCTCGTCCAGCGGCCGGCCGCAGGGAGCGCCGCGGGCTCCCTCGGCGGCAGGGCGGTTCTGGTCTGGAGCTCTGCCCGCGCACGCTCAGGACTAGGGAGGTGCGCGCGAGCACGGAGTCCTGCGGCCCAAGGCACATCTTCCATCGAGCACGCGGGATCGCTCGGGTAACCGAGCAACCCCGCGGCCCCTGGCCCCCCAGCCCCCAGGAGCGTCGCCCGCTCGTGGCTGTGCAAACGCTGCCGCAGGGAAGCGTGGGTTTTCTTTTGCACAGCTTGCACGAGGGCGCTCTGCTTCGCCAGGTGCTGCAGGGCGTCCAGCACGGAAGCGTCCGGCGCGGGGCCCTCGCCCTGGAAGGAGAGTTCTGTCCGCGCGTCGGAGAGAGCTTCGCCGAGGCGCGGCGCCGCGCCCAGGAGCTCGAGCAGGGAGTCGGCGCCGAGATCCGCGGCCACGCTGGACACGCGCGCGCCCCACTCAGCCCAGAAGGCCGCGGCTCGTCGCGCAGTGGCCCACTGCAGCCCCGCGCCAGAGAGCTTGAGGGGGAGGCCGAGGATCTCCCGCGCAGCGGCGTCCAGGGGCCGCCCGGCGAGCTCCTCCCAATAGCCTGCCAGCGTGGCGTCGTAGCGAGCCGCCTCTGCCTCGCCCGCCAGCTGCGCGCGCAGGGCGCGCTGGCTCGAGGCGCCCGCGCAGGTGCGCAGCAAACTCCCAACTGCCTGCAGCGACAGGCCGTGCTCGCCAACCGTGCGCTTCCCGAGCGGCCAGAGGGCGTTCCAGAGCTGCGTCAGGCGCCCGGCCGACTGCTCAAGGCCGCTGGTCTGGCCCCGCTCGAAGGGCGCGTCGGCCACGTCGCCCCGCGCCCGCAGGTGCGCTCCGAGCACGGGGATGGCTGGCACGGAGTGCGCGCGCAGCTCAGGGCGCGCGGCCTGCGGCCCAGACGGAGACCACACCTGCGTCTTCCTGGCGTTGAGTTCCAGCCCGAGGGGCTCCAGGAGCTCTCCCAAGCGGCGGAATGCGGCCGTGGCGAGCTGCGCCGGGAGCACCAGGTAGTAGATCACGTCTGGGTCCTGCCGCGAGAGCTCGCCCAGCAGCTGGCAGAGCGCCGCTCTCTGGACGACCGAGAAGGCAGCTGGCGCCAGGGGGCCCCCCTGGTCAGAACCGAGGGTGCTCTCGACTTCCTCGAAGCTGCCCGCTGCGTCCCGCCAGAGGTGCTTGGTGGACCCGGAGGACCACTTGTCAAGCACCCACGCGATCTCCGGCACGTGGACAGCCGTGGCCTGGATGGCTGGGTCTCGCCGCAAGCGCTGGAAGGCCGCCATTGATGTCCACCTTGCTGAACACCATCCCTGGGAGAGCGTCGGACTGGGTCTGCAGCTGCTTGACTACCAGGTCGGTCCCGCACCTCCGGTCTACTTCGTTCTGGTGGGGGCCCGCCGCCTGTCGGAGCCTCCTTTCTGGACCCGGGCCAGCGCACGCCGAGCCTCCTCAGGCTGCCCCCCACGAGCAGTGGGCGGACATCGCCGTTGCCCTTGTCCAAGACAACCCTGCACCTCGTCCGAAAGTTCTGGGTCAGGGGCGGACCCGGCAGTGCTGGCCTCTGCTGGGGCAGCGGGGAAGGCAGCGCGCGCCTTCTCCAGCGTGGTGCGGCTGCGCGGTGCGAGCGGGGTACCCCGCGCGGCCCCAAGGGCTCGTCCTTCTTCGCCCGCTGCGGCCAGAGTGTGGGCCCGGCGTGCATTTCGCTTTTGCTCGTCCGCCTGGTCCCGCTTGACGGCCTTGGCCGGGGGCGCGGACCTTCCAGCGGCGTCTCCCCACAGCGCGCCCCACTGGCCTCCCCACCACCACGCCAGACGCTCTTCCAGAGCCTCGGCGTTGGTGGCCTGCCCGGCCGGCTGTGCAGTGAGCAGCGCGTCGAAGAGGAGGAGCGCCTTCCACTCCTTTTCTGAATCCCTCCTCACGGCCGCCGCCGCCAGCACCTCCAGCACCTTGAGGCAGGCGGTCACGAAAGCGCCTCGGAAGCGATCCGGCACCTGCACGAAGGTCGGGGTGCCGATGCGCACGGCCGCGGGCCACGGGAGGCGTTCCCACCACCCACGGTCAGGGAGCACGCCGCTGTCCCAGTCTGGGTGTAGTGGCGGCGGCACTGGGTTTGCCTCTCCTTCCCGCGGCTGCCGCTGCAGCCGTTGCGCCGGCGGCCGAGCCAGGGCGGCCTGCGCGGCCTGCACGTGCTTTTCTGTGGCATTTGCGCTGGGGGAGCTCCTCCGGTCCTCCTCCTCCTCGTGCTCCTTCTCCTGCTCCTTCTCCTCCTCCGCCTGCTCCTCCGCCTGCTCCCCCTCCTCCTCCTCCTCCTCCTCCTCCTCCTCCTCCTCCTCCTCCTCCTCCTCCTCCTCCTCCTCTTCTCCTCCTCTAAAAGCCTGGCGTTGCATGTTCTTCACAGCGGCCGTTTTCGCCCAGTGTCGGGCCCCAGGACCCTCAGAGAGATGGGGTCTAGCGCTCCGGTCGTGATGTGTTGCGATATTGTATTTTTTGCAACGTCGGATCTCAGGGTCCTGCCTTCTCGTCCTGCGCCTCGTTCTCCCCTCCCCCCTCCATCCTCCGCCTCTGCCTTCTGCTCCCTCCCTTCTCCCTCCCCCCCCTCCCCCGCCCTCCCTCCCTCCAGGATTCGTCCTCTGCCTCCTCTTCGTCGTCCCTCCTCCCTCCGCCTATCATCGTCCTTCAAGGGTGTTGGCTGCGGCACCACCCGCCAGCCCAGCACGCGATGATGGAACTGACGCAGCGCCATCATCGCGCGCACCAGCGAAGACGTCAGCTCGATTACTGAGCCGACGTCCTCGCCGGGGCTCGCGCGCTCCGCCTTCCGAGGGGGGGCGACACGGGGGCGGGGACTGGCTCGAGGGGGGGGGGGGGAAGCATCAAACTCAAGGGGCCCTGGGACACACAAATAAATACACACGAATAGCAGGATTCCCAATACTTCCGCATATTTTCTTTGTTTTTGTCTTCCCCCCCACTTCCCATATTTTCCCTCCTGACAAACGTGGAGCCGGTGGCACATCGCAGACGGATCGGCGGCAGGCCCTGGATAGCGGAACCGTGCGCCCGTGGGCGGGGTGGCGGGCCCAGCTCCATTCCTCGCGCTCCTCCCTGCCTCGCCCGCTGCGCCGCCGCCGCCGGGCTCAGGTGGAGAAGTCGGCGCCCTCGTCGGCCGCGTCCTGCGCGGCGAACATCTCGCCCCCGCAGCACACGTCGATGATGCACTCTTTCTCGGGTATGCCGTTCCTGGGGGAGTGCGGCCGGGAGCTCGTGCTCAGCGTGTCGCGGCGGCGGCCCTGGCGACACGGTGTGCCCTGCAGGCGGGATGCGCGTCGCTCCGCTGCACGGGGCGGGAGGCTGGGAAACGCTCGGGACGCTGGCGCTCGGGGACCGAGACGCGGCTGGCGTGTCGCGCCGAGGCGTGGTGGGCCAGAACCGGCGGCGCGACACGCCAAGCAGAAACTGCCTGGCCGTGGCGGCCGAAGGCCCCAAACAGCTCCTAATACGCAATGCGCAACACGTAGCGTATTGAGACGGGGCTCAACACGTGGACTGGGGGCGCAGGTCTGACGCGATGCGTTCGGCAAGGCGTGGGCCAATACGTTGCGCCAACACGCAGCGTATTGACTCACGGACGCGTTTTGAGCACGGCAGGTGTTGCGCTTCATGGCGGGCGTACTCAGGCAGCTAAGGTCGGGGGCCTCGGTGGGTGGTCCAGTCGGCCCGTATCATGAGGATGCGCGATAAGGATGCAAGGGCCAAGGCCATGTCGACACTTTGCGGGCGGGGCGCGGCCAGCGAGAGCGGCCAAGGATGGGTCAAGGAGGCAAGGACGCAAGAATACCCTTGATAAGGCCGCCCATCCTTGCTATGCGGGTTGACTGTAGGTCTGACGCGATGTGTTTGCCAAAACGTGGGCCAATGCGCTGAACCAACACGCAACGTATTGACACGGACGCTCTGAGCACGGTACGTGTTGCGTTTCAAGGCGGGCGTATGGAGGCAGCTAAGGTAAGGTCGGGCATGTCCATCTACAGGCGGACTTTGGAAGACAATTCAAAACTGACAAAAGATACATTAACATTCGCAAAAACAATAGATGAATCCGCCGACCCCTTGTGGGTCTCTAGGCTTGTGAGATAGTTCCCCCCCCCTAACCCCCCCCTGGGACCCCAAACCGGAGATTTGACCCCCCCCCCCCGGGCCGCAGACGAGCGCACCACGGGGCTCTTTTGGGCCCAAAAGGGGATCAAGACGGGCCAAGAAGGCCCCAAGACTCCTCCAAGACGGCTCACGAGAGCTCCGAGGCGCCAAACGAGCGCTCCCAGACGCCCAAGATGCCCCCAAGACGAGCCTAGAGGCCTCCAAGACGGCCCAAGAGGCCTCCAAGAGCAGTCCTCAGAAGGGCCGAAGCGCCGAAAATCGTCAAATTCCTATGGGAAAACGTACATTTTGATCATATACTACTTCTCGGCCTTCACGGCGTTGAAGACGGTCCCAGAGCACCCCAAGACCGCCCCGAGAGGCCCCCAAGAAGCGCCCAAGTCGGCCCAAGAGGGCGCCAAGACGGCCCAAGAGGCCCCCAAGACAGCCCAAGAAGGCCCCAAGACGGCCCCAAGAGGTGCCCAAGAGGGGGAGCCCGAACCGACAATCCGAGCCTTCCGCTCCAAGACGGCCCCAGAAGGCCCCAAGAGGCCCCAAGAGGCCCCCAAGACGCCCACAAGAGGCCCCAAGAGGCCCCCAAGAGGCTCCAAAACGGCCTCAAAACGGCCCCCAAGAGGCTTCGAAACTGCCTCCAAGAGTCCCGCGAGAAGCCCCCCAAGAGATCCCAACGATCACCGCACAAGTCTCATATCAACAACCCAGGCACGGTGGCGGGGTTGCGTTTGCGCACAAAAAAGGATTCGCGCTCTCGAGGCCAAGATTGCTCCAAAACGGCCCAGGATGGCTCCAAAACGGCCCAAGATGGCTCCAACACGGCCCAAGAACGTTCGAAGACGGCCCAAAATGGCCTCAAGATGGCCTACAAGGCTTTCACTATCGCCCACGAAGTCTCCAAGAAGATCCCCAGGACATCTGAAAGAGGCGCACATTACGTATTTCATTACATTTCCATTGCGTTGTTGAACATGTTTGCAATTGTTGCCTTTCCCGGCTTCCGTCGGCTCACGTAGCCCAAAGAGCCTCCAAGATCGCCCCACGGCGCCCCAAGAGGGCCTCAAGACGGCCCCAGAGAATCCCAACACGGCCCAGGACGCCTCCCAATTCGGCCTAAGACGACCCCACGACGGCAAAACCTGTCTCCAAATTGGTCCCAAGCTGGTGCAAGACGCCTCTAACCCCAAACCCATAACCCAGAGCCTTGTTTCTGTGTCCCCTTCCTCCTCTCCTCCTCCTCCTCCTCCTCCACCTCGGCCGCCAGGTGGGTTCAAAACTGCTTTCCAGAGGTCCCCGAGAGGCGTGCCGCGAGATCCCTATACACATACAAAAAGCCTCTAACCAATAGCACATATCCCAGAGTTTCGTCTCTGTGTCCCCGTCCTCCCCCTCTCCTCCTCCTCCTCCACCTCCTCCTCGCCCACTCCTCCTCTTCCTCCCCCGCCTCCTCCTCTTCCTCCCCGATTCTTCTCCCCCCATCCTCCGCCTCACCCCCCATCCCTCTCTCCCCCTCCCCCTGTCCTCCCCCGCACGCGCGCCCCCGATTGGGCATCATTTGCAGGTCTTGCATATCAGGGTGCCCTTTTTTGCATCGCGTGCGACGTTGGCAGGGTTCCCGGAGAACGCCGACGTCGGTAGTCTTCTCTTGCACGCGCCGCCGCACTGATACGCCTGGCAACTGCGGGCTGTGAACCCGAGGTTCCGGCAAGACCGCCAAGATGAGGGGTCGGCGGATGTGGCGTAAGCCTATAGAATCGTCCCCTGACTCTTTTCAACTATGTTTGAATACTCCTTCTGTGGAGGGACAGGCCCGACTTAAATCTGAGGTCGGGGTGCCACGGTGGGGGGTTCACGATGAGGGGCCACGACGGGGCCGTTAGTGCAATTAGAGGGTCCGAGTCGATTTCGGAGGGATGCGGGTTGAAGGATCTCACCTTCTTCCTTCTCCGCCTCCTTCTCCTCCTCCTCCTGCTCCTTCTCCTGCTCCTGCTCCTCATCAATCCTGCTGCTGCTCCTCCTCCTCCTCGTTCTCCTCCTCGTTCTCCTCCTCGTTCTCCTCCTCCTCCTCCTCCTCTTCCTCCTCCTCGTTCTCATCCTGAAGGACCTCACGCCTTCTGCCGTCCCTGCTTCGCGCGCGAGCCTCCATGAGTTCTCCCGCCTCACCCGGACATCCCTGGAGTCGCCTACCGTAGGAGCTCGACCACAAGAAACCTTCAACCGGAAACCCAGCCATGAGACCCCAGGACGTCCATTGATTTTTGGTGTGGGAGTGTCACGCTTTCCATGGCAAGATCATCAAAAGCCAAGACACCCAGGGAACCCTGGAGGCAAGCAAGGTGTTTCTTGACATGGCCTTCCTCTGTACGTGCAGTCGAGCCTAGGACAGAACAACATCCCTCAAGAACACGAGGCCTTCCGCCGGCCAAGACACGCAGAATATCCAAGGGTGCCCTCCGCAGGGTGCACCAGAATTTCCAACATGCCCTCCCCAAACCGATTTCGATCTTGTACCTCGGTGCGACTGTAAATAAAAATCCACTGTCGGCAAGAGGTTGAGAGGAAAGCATGCCTTGGGATTCGCCGCGCCCTTGTGAGCACGAGAGGAGTACATTCTCGATTCTTGAAGCAAGAAGACGCTCAACGCAGACTGGGCTGGGGAATGCAAAGGTCCGCCCTTGTGCCGTAGGCTTGACAATCTCGTCTTCGTGTATTCAGCTTGTCAATCTCAGGGCGTCCATGACGGCTCAAGAGGCCCCTAACAACGCCCCAAGATGGTCCCCAAGAGAAGCAAAAGAGGCCCCAAAGACGGCCCCAAGGTGCTCGAGAGGAGAACACTAACTGACATGTCAAGCCCCCCACCCGAAGATGACTCCCTAGACCGCCTCCGGGCCCCCAATAGGCACCCTAAACGCCCCTCAGAAGCCTCCTAGAGGCCTCCAGAAGACCTCGAATTGACCCCTAGAGACATCTCAAAGCCTCTGGTCATCGAGCCAGGTACGGTGGCGGGATGGGGCGAAGACCACCAGAGACGTACTCTCAACGAGCGACAGATACACATGAACTTTCGGAGGTCCGCGCGGATTCCTTGGGTCTGCGTTGGACCCCTCCCCTCAGCCATGGCGCGCTCCGCGCGCCCGGGGAGGGGTACGGGGAGGTGGGAAAGTTCAGCGCCGACCTAAGAGATCCGAACGGACATCCAAAAGTCTGCGCTCATGTAGATGTTGTTTGCCCAAGGCGTTCCGGGAGATCTTGCCGCAGAGCTTCTCTGCCTCAGGCATCTTGTCTGCGGGGCAATCGTCTATGCTCGGGTCCGCCGTCTTCACCACCGGCGTGCGCTCCTTAAAGAGCAAGTCCTCGTCGGCCACCCAGGCCGACGATGAGCCGAGCCGCTCCTTCAGCGCGGCGCGAGAGTCGTCCGCTGGGTCCCCGTTGAAATTGCCGCACTGCCCGTCCTGATTGGGAAGAGGGCCGCTCAGGAATATCTTGACATTCATGTAGTCACCCTCGCCAGGCTCGTTCCAGCGGTTGATTTGCAAAGAGACCCCCATCGGCAAAGTCACCTTGACGACTCGGAGCTGCTTGCCTTCGCGGCCCTCCTGCAGATACTCGCCCTCGGCGTCGTACACTATGCTGACTGGGGGCGATGTTGACGTCCACTTCGACGGGAACTCCGTCAGAATGGCCTCCTCGTCCCACATCGCATACTGCGCGGAAAACCTCAGCAAGTGCCTCCCCAAAATATCGCCACCGATGGCAAGCACCTTGGTCACGCTGAGCCCGTTGGTGACGGGCGTCGCCATGTATCGCGCCTGGATGGCCACGGGGAAGCTCTTGACAAGCCAGTACTCCCCAGTGGAGTAGAAGCTAACTTTCCTCCCATCGAACGTGATGACGTGGGGGTCACCGTACACGCGGCAGGTCTGTGGGCCCGTTGGTACCGTGGTGCTGCTGGGCCTGGTGGAGCTGGGCGTCTCGGGCACTGGTG